ATTACATGTTTTAGATGAGAAACCCGAATCAGACCTGCCTGCTGGTTGGAATTTAACAAAATCTGATTCCTATTAACTAATTCACCTTATGGCTTTCCTAGGCGAAACCTATAGGCATGATATCTAACAATGCGGGAGCGTACTAGTTTTTAAAAAAAAAAAAAGACTTGTTGATTATACAAAGCATAAGCTCCGTAGATATTAAGCCATGCTATTTACTAATTTTTAGACTTAGGCAAAATAGGCGATTCAGATTCAGTTGATAGCTCTTATAGGCATGGTGTCTAGAATGTTGTTTGTTATTCAAACCTATAAATACGTTTGCCTAGTGATAGATGCATATGCAGAATTCGGGCAGTCTTATAGCCATGTTATCTATGTGGTATGCAGAAATACGGAAACCTACAGACATGGTTTCTATATGTAATGCAGGAAACTATAGACATAGTTTCTATATGAGAATGTAGAACCTATAAACAGGATTTCTATATGAAATGCAGAACCTATAAATATGTTTTCTAGATAATACAAAAGTGCAGAAACTTATAAGCATGGTTTCTATATGAAAATGCAGAACTTTTGAACATGGTTTCTATATGAAATATGTAACCTATAAACATGATTTCTATATGAAACATGCAGAACTGAAAATGGGACATGATTGCTGAAACGTATTAAATTCCTATGAACATGATATTTACCCCTTTCATGCATGATGTACCCTCCCTTTTCACTAAAAACCCCAATAGTTATTACAAGATTATTACAACGCAGAATTGAATAAGAAAAAGAAGTAAAATTACATCAGAAAAACTAAAAATTTCCAACCAAGGAGAGCCTGATTCAGTCTTCTGTCTAAGGCATGAAGTAAACCAACTCCAAGGATCGAATTCCCAAAGCCTTTCTCATTTTTGGGTGTGTCAGAGTTCCCAAGAGCCTCATGAACTCCGGGCAGTGCTTACACCCAAATTCATTATAGAATTGAATTATAGTGCAGTGTGGAAGGGTCAGCCCTCAAATGTCCAAGTTCAGAGGGAACTCAAGGTCCCAAAGCAAGGCTCATAGGAGGGAGGCAGAACATAGAAACTAGGAGAGAGTGTGATTGCAATAGAGGGGATTCTGGGGAAAGCAAAGATAGGCTGGTGGTCATACCAGCAATTGGAAGTGCTGGCACACCCCAACCAGCCTATTAGCCACATTATTTGGGAGTTAGGATCCCTTAAAGGATCAAGTTCAGACATGAGCAACAATTTGGATGTTGCCATGTTCTGAACTTAAACTCAAAACACATAGAGGGGAATAGGGGTACAGGGATTCACAGTAGGAACATGTTCAAAGAAATTGACATCGCTGATTAACATTAAACATAGGCAGTAATGCAGACAGGGGTGTAGGGATTCACAGTAGAAACATATGCAAAGGAATTGACATGTTAATTAACATTAAACATAGGTAGTAAAACAGACATGGATGTAGAAACTGTAAAATAAATACATTGGGATGAGGCTAAAAACCAAACTAGAACATACCAGTTTCAGGGAAGCAAGAAAAGAAAACAGTAGTCTTGTAAAGCCAGAGTGCAAGCAAGCAGTCAGAACACTATGATTTTAGAAGGGAACTATGAGTAGTGCAAAAGTATTGGATTGAGAATGTGTGATCGAAAGTTGGTCGTATTAACCGTGTCTGATGTGTTAAAGAAGGTTATGTATTTATAGTATAGAAAGCAAGCAGAAATAGGTAAGAGAATAATTTAAAAAAAAATCAATTACGAAAGGTTTCCCTTTGATTAAGGGATTCTGATTTCAAACGGGTAAAATAATTAAGGCAAGAAGTTGATCAAACACTTTTTCAAAGCAGTACAAGAAGGGTAAATACATAGAGATTTATTTAAGGAAAAGGTTTGATAGCACACGGTTTGTGCAAAATAAGGAAAGGCAATCAATCAACATCCAGTAAAATCAGCAATTGAAGATTTCATATGAATGAACCAAGTCAGGAAGATGGAAAAATCTTGACTTAAGGAAAATCAATACTATTTAATCAAGCCTAAAGAAAAGGATTCTGAATCAAACATAAGTTGGAAAACCTTTTTCATAAGAGAGAATTCATCACATATAAAAACATACAGCCATGCTTAAACACGAAGAACTATTATGCTAACCAGTAGAAGAGTCTAGCATAGAAAAACTCAGAGTCACAAACAAAGAAGTTCAAGCTCAGTTCATAGACTCAGAATGAGTCTAAGAGAATCCAGGGTTCCAAAATAGAACCCTAGTCCAAACACAAGATCAAAACTCGTCAAAACCCCCAAATTCTAGGGTTTCTACTTAGAATCAGATACAGAGACGAAGAGACAAATAACAAACAGATACAATAGCGAGTTTGAAACAACAAAGTGAAGAGACTAATTCGGAACATAGTGGGGGGTAGAAAGAACATGTTAAGAAAACCTGGGATTTAAACAAGTCCAGAAGAAAGAAGAGGTAGTATAACACTGAAGAAAACAGTAGGCGAAACATGTTTAAAGAGAACTCAATCAAAGTCCAGTAAAAGGTAGGCAAGGAACTTAAGAACTCAGTAGGAGACACATATAGTAGGAGAACACAAAATTACCGGAAAAGTATATCCACAAGACATATAGGAAAAATACAGTAGGATGAACATGTAAGCATGGTGTAGAAACATAATAGAAAGACAAGGCACAGAAGAACAAAAGCATAAGAAAACAGCAAAAACGCATGCGTGACAAATATACACAAAGAAAAAGGAAAAGAACAGTCGAAGAAAAACATTTTGAGTTTTCAGAAACGCTAAGTCGGAGAGAAGTGATTTTTGAAAGAAAAATTGGGGAAAACGTTTTAAAACTCAAGTAGAGCACAGATATAGAACCAATCTAGGAAAACAAACAGGGAAAACCTCGGATAGCTAGGGTTTCAGAGGAACCTTAAGAGAGAAAGGCTTGGAAAAGGTCCGATCTAAGTAGGACGAGTCAGAACCAGGCTCGAAATGCTGTGGGTACGCCGGAACAAAGCCGGAGAAGCCATAGAACCTTACATCGGAGAAAATATGAACGGACACCATCGAGGTCAGACCTCGATACTTCGAACACCCAGCGTTCAAGAGCAGAGATAGATGGGTATAGGCCATCCATGGCCTGAGAAGCCATGGTTTCCGGTGAGTTTGCGGTTGAAAATGGTAGAAGGCGATTAGGGTTTCAAGAACATTCGAGAGAGTTTGAGAGACGAAGGGGTTTCAAGGCGGCGTCTCTGAGTGAAATGAGTTAGGGTTAGGGGTGTGGGTGAATTAAAATGGTAAGAAATGATTGTGGTCGTTGATCAAAATGATCAACGGTCTGGATCAAAAGGAATGGCCGGGCGGGTTAGATTAGTTGGGTCAGGGGCGGGTTAAATTAAAATTGGGCTGGTCCGTTTGGGGTTTGGAATTGGGTCAATTAGGGGAAGTCAATGTGGCTATAATCGAAATAAAAATGGGCCAGACTTTAAATAGCCAGTTTTTCCCTTTCTATTTTATAAAAATAGTAAAAATAATTTTGAAAGCAAATTAAAAGTACTGGATCAATTAATAATATATAAATATTAATTTAAAAATATGGGAACCAGTTTCATAATTATAAAATGTTATTAATTCTCAAAATAGGCTAAAATTGTAATTATATGCAATTTGACTTTTTAAAATACCAAATAAATTTGTAAAAATGTATAAAAAATTACTATAGCTATATTTTGGTATAAATATGAGAATAAAATAAGTTATTCACCAAGATGATAATTTTGAAAATAATTATTGGTTTTTATATTGCTAAAATGGATAATAAATTGATTTAAAAATCTTTAAAAAATTGAAAAAAATACTAAAATACCTAGGCCTATTTATATACGCATATATATAGCATTTGAAAGTATTTTGCATATAAAAATAGACGGGAAAAAATTGGGTATCAACACACGTCCAAGTCCAAAATCATCATACAAACCTATTGGAACTATCAAATCCTGGTTCCGAGGTTGTTTACTCAAAATGTTGACTTGGTCATCTTAGGCCACTATTAAGGAACTAAGTGTTACAATTTCAACCCGAACCCTTCCAAACCTAAACCAACCATCCCAGTAAGTTATAAAATAGTAAAAGCAGTTTTGGGAAGTCTTAATTAGGGGAACGAGGATTTAGAAAGCAAAACGACCGGTCGGGTCGTTACATGATGTGTCACTGAACTTGCACTCCATGTATTCTATTTTAGTTCTACTCAATCTGAAATCTTTAGACTCTACTGTCTGTCGCCAACCTCTAGTCTATCATTAACTTTGTCATGTGTCTCACAATCAATGCTATATCATTTGCAAATAATATATATCATTGTACTTTCCCTTGAATATGCCGTGTCAACTCATTCATCACTAAGACAAATAAAAACGAGCGAAGATGACTTTAGAAAGAAAATAACGAAGATGAATTTAGAAAATTAGTAAAATTGAGTGATTTTGTAATTAGAAAAATTAATTTGATGACTTTTGTGGGATAATAATACAAGTTCAATAGCCTTCATCATTTGGTTGGAAATTGAATCTCATAAAATAATATCCTTTTATCATCCTCCTAAATAGTACTGGTTTTGTTTTAATTAATATAAATTTATTTCTTTTTTACTCTTTTCAAAAAGAATAATTATTTGTAAAATTTGGACAGAGTTTACCTCTTAATAAGGAAGGGAGCCTTGGCGTAGCTGGTAAAATTGTTACCATGTGACCTGGAGGTTACGGGTTCAAGCCGTGAAAATAGCCTCTCATAGAAATGCAGGGTAAGACTGCGTCCAATAGACCCTTGTGGTCCGGGCGCGAGCTCAGTACAATGAGTTGCCCTTTTCTTTTTTCTTAGGCAAATTAGTTCACTTAAATCGAAACGAAAAAATAATACTTAATGAAAAAAAATTAAGAAAAGAAGACAACAGACGTGCATCACTTGTCTTCCATAGATGGAAAAAATGTCTCGTGTTAGTCCCACTTATCCTCAGCGAGAGAAAGAAAAAAAAAAAAACAATTTATCCAAATTGAAGCTCATCCCGTAAATTCCGACCTACCTCAAATTGGATGCACGACAACGACAAGCACCCCCAATATTCGTAATTTAATCCCGAACACAGATACTGGATAAACATAAACTATCCCACTTTTATGTCAATAGATTCTCCTTCAAAAACTTTGCTGGATATTTTTCTTCGAGCAAAAAGATCTGAAACAGGTTAATTTTCATCGCCAAATGCAGTCACTTAGTTTTAATCTTAATGCCGGAACGAAAGTGTCATGGCCTGGTCGATTTAACCAGGGAGATGGAAGTAAGCAACAAATTCACATCAGAGGAAATGTGAAGATGTTTAGAATCATGGCGTGTGCGCCTGAGATGAATAGTGGTGCAGAGAGCCAGAGTTCTAGTCCCAGTCCAAGTGAGAGTTCCTTCCTTTCCCGTAGCCAGACCTATGCACTTTTGAAACAGCAAATGGAAGTCGCCACCAAATCTGAGGTCACCACCTTCATATGCATTGAAACTATTTATTTTGATTTAATTTCGTGTATGGAAAATATGTGTGGATTTACCTTTTTGTCAGTTCACGAGGCACCCAGTGTTTGCACGAAATTAATAAATGCATGGCATTCATATTTTACATGAGCTTACATCTAATTAATACTCCATTTGTTTTAGAATTGATTCGGAGTAGGAGTGTAAAAATTTGTAATTTAGGTCTCAATTAGGTTTCAGGATATCAATTTCTTAATCTTTTTGAAACAAAATTTACCTGATTAGAGTCTAGATAAAAAAAAGTACCATAAAGGGCAACTTTTTATTTAATTAGAGATATTTAACATATAAGAAAAAGGCGATTTAAAAAAAGAACAGTTTTGATTGCCCAAATAGTAATAGTTTCATATAAAGTGGAGTGGATGAATTATTAATTATCATCTCAGTTTATGGCTTAATCATGACTAATTAATTTGATTTGGTTCAAATATGATGTGTGAGTAAGTCTTTGACTTCGTAGAATTAGTCTCACACAATACATTATTACTAAACGCCTCCATGTCACAATTCGGCACGCCCCATGCTCGTTCGATGTATAAGTTGAAATTTTTATTAAAATATTGATTAATGCAAGTTCACGCCAATTATGATAGACATTTTTTAGGTCCATAGGGCATAGGTACTCCTCATCATCGGCCTTAAAAGCTAGATTTCCTTGTTTGTACTTTTTTTGTGGATGCGAAATTCCACTCAAATGCATTAATTTTGTGATTGCCAGCTTAAACACAATTACACTGCTATAAAAATTGGGTTACTGTTATCTTGGTGAAAGATTTAGAACTTCAAGAAGAATACAGGAGAAATTTAAAGCTTTTATCCATTATGTTGGTAGATGCAAATGATTGCTGTTTCGTTCACATGCTGAGTTGGATTATATATATGTAGGACTACAAGCAGGCGGCGAGACTTCGTGATTCATTGAAAATATTTGAGGATGAAGAACCTGTTTTGCGGCTTAGGAGATTGTTGAAAGAGGCTATTGCAGAAGAGAGGTTTGAGGTACCTGTTCAGCTGTTCCTTTCTCCCAAACAAGTGTTATCAACTGGAGGACCGAAAAATGTTTAGGTTCATTCCATATGCTTAGACAAATTCATTAACAAACAAATTTAGATTTAAGGGATATGGAGCTAAATTATCTAACTCTACCTTGTGAAAGCCACAAAATTTGGCCTGCTTTTGGATTTATATTTGAAAATTACAATTCTGAACATACTCACCAAGTGAATTTGCTTGTATATCTTGGATTTTGTAATAGAGTAAATTACATTTTGGTACGTAATTGATAGAAGTCCTGCTATTTTTGTTTTGAATGGTGCACATAATACCCTAATGGCCTAATTTTAAAGTAACATGCAGAAATAGGATTGTTAAAACGAAAGACAATTTTTCAAGTATTGTCTTAAATTTGTATGCATGCTGAAGGTAAGGGGTAAAATTTGAAGCCAATGGATGGTTTTTACTCCTTCCAAAATTGAATTAGAAATAAAAGCGTGTTTTGAGCGCTAAAAAGGTCGTAAGGAAATAAAACCAGTAAAATGAGGTCTCCTTTTACATGTTTTTCAAAGTCAGAGATTTGTGCATGTTCAAAATCAGTGACAAAAAACACACGAATTATAAGGTATTAAAAGGCGCAATCTGTTTTTATAGTACACAAGTGTGCTATATTATTGCCAATATTATTGCACAAATTTGACTCTAAATGTCAACTCCATATTTTATTTTCTCAATTATTTAGGTACGTGCCATTATTGGAGATGCATGACAACGCATGATAACATCCTGAAACCTAGCAATTGTTGCTTTTGAAAACTTCAAGAAATAGATTTGCTGATTTAGAATTGTATTAACTTTCTCATCTCTCTGGTACTGCTATATTAGCTATCCATCGATTATTTGAAGTCACTTTTCATCTAAGTTTACCCTTTCTCGCCCTCTTTCTCTATGTCTTCCCAGGATGCAGCGAGGTACCGTGATGAGTTAAAGGATGTGGCTCCACATTCTCTCTTGAAATGTTCGAGTGACGCAACAACACTGGTATGAAATATCCAATTTTTATTCAGGAATTATCATGCTTCTGTTTGACTTTCTTTTACTAGCTGGATTACCAGATTGAGTTGTTGCTCATGAAGCTTTATGAATAATGAATTTTGACATAAGTGGCTTTGTATACAGTATACTTTAAGGACAAAAATGTGGGAAAGAAGTAATGACTTTTTTTGGACTTTCATGCATGCCCTCATTACGTTCCACATTTTTTTTTCATGCACATGGGCTGTCTTTTTACACCTCTAACAGTTTCTGGGTCCCTTTTCTTCTAAAATACAAAAGAAAGATATGCTATTATATAATTCAGGTGTCATTTATGACTCTTCCAATTATTATGGGGTCTTAACTAAGAAATTTTAAGTTTTTACCAGATTAAATATGCCTGCATAAACACTATAAATGAAGCACGTCAGGATCTAAAAAGGGCTCCTTTTGTGTGCTGTCAGTTTTTGCATATGATTGATTGATGGTTAGATCTTTCTGATCAGCTCATAATTGCACATTCACGATAAGCTTATTGAAGCCTGAACATCTCATAATCAGACTTTGCATAAGTTTATTGAAGCTGAGCAGTTATGTAATCTCTGAAATATCTACTCAACATTGCTTTGTCTAGGGTATCAGGGTTCAAGTTAGAAGCGTGTATATAGAAGGTCGAAGTCATCCTTCAAAAGGCCTTTATTTTTTTGCTTATAGAATAAGAATTACCAACAACTCAGATCGTCCTGTTCAGCTTCTGAGAAGGCACTGGATCATCACTGATGCTAATGGAAAAACAGAAAATGTCTGGTGAGTCGCTGATTTTGCTGTTTGGCACATTTGTGGGAGATAATACTGTTTATGTTTTAACTTATGCATGTCCTTTCTTTTGTAACTTTATGTTGTCATCATTCTGTATGGTGGTAATTTGATTTTGCTTATTTTTTATAAATTTGGACTGAAGACTAAACAATGTTATATTGTTCCTTCTGATAGGGGGATTGGTGTCATTGGTGAACAACCGGTAATACTTCCCAACACTGGTTTTGAATACTCGTCTGCATGCCCATTAGGAACTCCAAGTGGAAGAATGGTAAGAAACTAATCTGTTTCCCTTTCCTTTCCTACATGAAGTGCAACCTAGTACTCTCATTTTCATCTTTGCTGTGGCATTTTTATGCTGAGGTCAATATGTAATTGCACCTGAAGATCATTTTTCTTAAGAGCGCATTTGGCCACGTAATATTCTTTATCAAAAAGTAATAAAGGGTAGTACTTTTCAGAGGTTTAGATTGTGCCCTCAAGTTAGCTGTGCGCATGTTTGAGACTTGCTGTCTAAAATAATAAATGTGTAATAGAGTTTTGTCTGTGATAATATAAATGGAACAAATTGCAACAATTTCAGTTGAACTCAGCCTAGCACTAATGCGTGCTTTATCTATACACATCTTATAAAAGAATCTATACGCGTTCACGCACTCTGGGGGGGGGGGGGGGGCACCCATTAATAGGTAATAGAACTCTATGCAAAGTCTTCCCCCTATATGAGTTAATACCCCCTGATCACTTTCACTGCCTCAAACATCTGAATGTATTTTCCAGCTGAGATGTAATTTTACTATCAAAATTGCATCATATGTCCAGAATAATGAAGACATGACCAAGGCTGATGCTTGACATATACCCGCTCTTTTAGGTCCATCACAAGGAAAATGAAAATCGCGATTTGCTTTATCCTACATACAGACTGCGCACTCATTCTTCTGCTCCTTTCAATCAAGTCTAGAGGATGAAGTTAGTGGTGAGAAAACAGGAAGAATACGGAATTTAGAACATTCTCAAATGCTTCTCTTATAAACCTAGCACTTACTAATACGTTCTGTAAAATATTTGCTAAGTGCTGCATGCTTAAAATTGGTTACTTCACTAATTTCTGATTGTCATCTTAGCTTAAAATAGCTTAACTTCACTAGTTGTCATATTTCTGTGTATTCCTTTTTCTGGATCAAGATGAATTGATACACTTGTTTAAATTGAATAGCAGTGATTGGAACTGGGATGAAAAAATTTCAGTTTTATGGTTATCAGGATTCAATTTGGAACAGGAGATGTTAAAGAGAACTGATTTTTCTGAGGTGCCAAGTAGTTAAAAACTAGGATCTATTCAATTTTGTGTTTTAGTGGCACCATGTTTTAATAGAATTATACTCCTAATATTTTGGAGACCTACTATTAGATCCTTCTGAGTTTCTATAAAAACTGTAATTAGTGATGGGCTTTAATGGCTGCGAAACTTGCAAGAAGTCTCTCTGTGTCTTATTCTTGATCTGGATTTGCATTCAATTGTCATCAGTCGTTCTGGTTTTGAAATTACCTACCTTCTCGGGTTCCCTCCCTTTATCTCTGTTCCTGCAATTTCTGACATGCATTGCGTCTCTGATGGTTATTACTACACAGGAGGGTGACTTCGAGATGAAGCACATTGATAAGGTAGGCTCACGGACATTCAATGTTGCCATTGCTCCTTTCTCTCTATCCAAAGTTGGAGATGGAAGTGATACCTTTTCAGATGGGAGCTGAGAATGTTGTGAAGAAAGTAAGAGGGAGGTTTAGTACCTCATTTGTACAATTTATATGTATAGTTTTAGGCGAAGTCTGTGTTGTAATTGCTTGATAGACAATAAACTCATGATATCTAATTCGTTGGGTGTAGATCAAATGTTGCCCAACATATTCCTTCGGGTAGCCAATGTTGAACTTAGGGATCTCTTGTGTTGATGTCGTCATTGATTCACATCTTGCAAGCCTGAAAGATCATCTGTAATTTGCAAATGTATATAGGATGTAATTGAACTGTTTGTGTTTTCTTCGGCCTTTTGGCAGCCAAATTATGATATCTGCCGAGGTATATATGTCCAATAGTTTTGAACTTTTTCGGCTGAAAATTTTAATATTGTCTCTTTTCTTTTTGTGTGTATAGTTCGCTGTTTATCTAATCGTCGTGTCTATGATAATTCTTGCACATTATCTCCAACGGATAAATGATTTAGGTGCTCTACCTGTTCATTTTTCAGCCACTGAAATCTCCCTGACAAATACTTTGGCTTGCTTCTATACTTGTTTGAACGTGGAACTTTTTTGAAGCTTCAGACTTATGACTGAATACCATTTTGGCGCTTATGATGAAAATTCTAACACATGAATTTATGCATGACTGGGAATCTTAAACGATGACGATTGATGCGCATTCAATATTAAAAATACAGGCTGGTTTGCCGTAGTATTTGCAAATATTGAAGTCGTTATTTGAAAATACTCCCTTCGTTTCCATTCAAATGATGTAGTTTGGTTTGACACAAAGAAAAAGAGATGTTTGAAACATGTGATCCTAAGAGCTTAAGGGCAAATAATATTTGTGTGGCTATAAAGCTTCTCAGTAAAGGTAAAGTGAGTAAAATGAGAAGTTTAAAGTTAAATTATTTCCAAGATATAGAAATGTATCATTTTTTTTTTTTTGGAACAAACTAATAAAAAAAAAGTGTCATTTAAAATGAAATAGAGGGAATATTAGTTTGGACATGAATTTTTTGTTAAGTGAAATATTATATGGATTTCAAGTGAAAATAATGAGAGTGGCTGAAAGGTATATTTTTACATCTCGTTTGACATTTACCTGACGTTTACGTTTCAAAGGAACAGTGGCAAAAAGGAGCTTGCCCCAACTACCTATAGATACTATTTGGATAACGTCCTTGCTTAGTAGATATATGTAAAACAATACATTTCGAGATTAAGAACATTCAAGAGTTCTATTTTTTTTTTATAAACTTGATATCTGGACTAGTGGATACATCTCAGCTATTTCCATGAGGTATCTGCTTCATTTCAAAATTAAGAACATTCAAGAGCTTTTAAAAAAAATATATATAAACATGAGGTCTGGTCAACTCACTGTATGGGATAAAATATGTTTATATTTAATGATCGCATGAGAAAGCGATACGTGGAACCGAATGCAGAAGATAGCTAAATCCAAAAGCAATGATCTCGTTTGTCACAGGAGAGAATAATACTCATAACAACGAAATTAATGTCGTCCCCCGATAGCATTTAATGAAAAATATTTTGTAGCATTAAGTGCATGATCCGTTACAGAGAATATGATATTCATTGCCCACCGTTACACATCCTTCAATGACTCTCATAATTGTCATTAAAGAGGAACTTAATTCTAAGACTTTGTTCTTGGATGCAACTATAAATAGTGAGTTCTACTATCATTGTAGAGGACACGAATTTTCTGACAAGCATACAATATATTCTATCAAAAGCTCAATAACATTTTATTTTGTTGCTTATTTGTATTGCACCTGGTAGCTCTATACGCCCGGAACCAAGATATTTGCCGTCCATTTCAATTTTAAGGCTAAGCCTTATATTTATGTTTAATTCATCTATTATTTGTGGATCATCAATTTACTTGTCTATAAACCACGTATAAATTCAACCGTACCGTTTTACGGGTAAACAGTTTGGTGCCCACCATGGGGCATAGACAATCGTGTAATTGAACTAATCCCTGCGTCTGTTACTAACTTGTTTGATTCTTTGTTCTTAGCAAAAATCATTAAAAATGGTAGATAATGGTGTTAACAACACACACAACATTGAGGCCCAAGGAAATCAACCTCAGCACAAAGGATTCAATCAGTGATACCCGCAACGAGGACGAGGCCACGCCAGTCCATGGCGGCCGATATTCGCGACTTGTTCGGGAGGCAATTCCTAGTGATGCTGAAGAAGAGAACGTCATCGAAGTAGTCAGGGTCTTGCAAGAGCAACAGGAGGCCATTATAGGCCATCTCACGCGGCAGGATAAGGTCATGACGGAACTGAAGCATGCGTTGTCGGGCGCTTCCAACAATGCGAATGGGCGAGGCCCAGTTCTTCCCGGTTCTCCCGCAAACCAAGCAACGTAGAGGGTCGACAACAACACCCCGAGGAGAGAGGCCGGCTCCGATGGTGCCGGGGGAACGGATTCGGTCACAACAACGAGAGTGGTCCTTTTAAAATCGAACTCATGTGATTTATGAGGGAAGTAAACACTAGAATGGATCAAATTCGGGGTGCACCACCAGTGCTGAAAGGGCCGGACTCAAAGAAGTACACATAATTGCCGTACAAACCAAGTGAGGCACCCGAACTGATCCCAAAACGGTTTAAAATGCCAGATATGCCGAAGTATGATGGGACATTGGATCTTAAGGAGCATATCACCATCTATACAACGGCGGTGAAGGGAAATAATTTAGCTCCCTATGAGATTGAATCCGTTTTGCTGAAGAAATTTGGGAAGACTCTTACGAAGGGAGCCCTAACGTGGTATTCGCTTTTGCCCGAGCACTCCATAGACTCCTTTGAGATGCTCGCAGATTCTTTCATCAAGGCCCATGCCAGGGCTAGAAAAGTACAGGCCCGAAAGGCCAATATATTCAGGATTGCGCAAGGAGAGTCTGAGTTGCTGCGGGAGTTTGTAACCAGATTGCAGAAGGAAAGGATGCTGCTACCAACCGTTGCAGATGAATGGGCGCCTGAAGCATTCAACAAAGGTTTGAATCCGAGGAGTTCCGATGCTTCCTAGAAGTTGAAAGAAAGTTTTCCCGAGTTCCAGGCAACAACTTGGGCGGATGTTCACAATCGGTACAAATCCAAAATAAGGAATGAAGATAATCAGGTCAGTTTCCCGGTATCGGTTAAAGGTCGGGATCGGGAGAAGAATAAAGAGAAATCGAAAGATGATTTTGACACAAATCAACGATCTTCGAGGAGTCATTTTTTCCCTATGAACGGGCTGAAGGACGCGGCAGAGGTTTTCGGTCAGCAGACAGATTTGTTACCGATAGGAGGACCGTTCGCGCCCGAAACAACAGGTCATTGCAGAACAAGGAAACGTCAGATTCTTTCTACCCCAAACTTTCTGAATACAACTTCAACGTTAGTGTAGTGGAGCTCGTATCATCCATTAGGAACATTAAAGAAGCACGTTCCTGAAGCCAATGAGATCTGATCCCGGTTAGATGGATCCTAATTTATGGTGCGAATACCACAGGACAAATGGTCACCGGACTGGGGACTGCCGGCATCTGCACGAAGAGGTGGCAACATTGCTGAAAAACGGCCATCTCAGGGAATATTTAAGAGACCGGGCTAAAAAAAACTATGTCGCAAATGTGATAACGCAGAGCCTTCAAAAACATGAGAGGACCCACCACGCCTGACGATTAACATGATTTTTAGGGGGGAAACAAAATTAACGGGGTTACATTTTCGGTGGCGAAAAAGACAAAGGTATTAGTGAGCTAGAGCAAAAGACTCTAGAAAGTTGCTGAAGACGGTATAACTTTTACGGAGGAAGACGCTGATGGAATGCCGCTACCGCATAACGACGCCCTGGTAATTTCTCTAAATGTATTAAATTTTAATGTTAAACGTGTTTTGGTGGACTCAGGAAGCTTGGCCAATATTATCCAATGGAGAGTGTTGGAGCAAGCCAAGCTAACCGGAAGTATCATTCTGGCCACAAAACTCCTCGCCGGTTTCAATCTGGCAAGTGTGACAACCCGGGGAGAAATCTTGCTGCCCACAAATGCCGTGGGGGTGATGAAGACGACTCTTTCCGATGTAGTGGATGGCGATATGGGTTACAATATCATTCTGGGGAGACCATGGCTGCACAAAATGAAGGTTGTGCCTTCAACATATCATCAGTGTTGAAATTTCCAACTCCCCAGGGAGTTAAACAAATAAGAGGTGATTAACCGGCAGCAAGGGAGATTAATGCAATCTCAGTCTCCAGTAGCAAAGGGAAGGAGCATGCGGCATAACAATTACAGGAGCAGGCGCCTTTTCTTGATCCAAGCGAAGTTAACCAGGGGGGAGGAGCGTCAGAATCCTATCTGGTGCCAAGGTATTTCCAGGTACCAAAAGAGACGGACGCAACAAAATCCACAGCAGAAGAACTTGTGCAAGTCGCATTGTTCGAGAAATTCTTGGAGAGGAAATTCCACTTGGGAACAGGACTGCATCCCAAACTCAGGTATGGTTTTATTAAATTTCTTAAATTTAATGTCAATTGTTTTGCATGGTCGCATGCGGATATGACAGGTATCCCGACGGAAGTGGCCGTACACAAGCTAATCTTGGATCCCAGCATTCCTCCGGCAAGATAGAATAAATGTCCTATTGCCGAGGACATAATAAATTAATCAAGGAAGAGGTAACTCTCTTGCTAGATATCGGTTCAATACGATAGGTAAAGTATCCCGACTGGCTAGCTAACGTAGTAGTAGTTCAATAAATTTCGCATGTGCGTAGACTATAAGGACTTAAATAAGGCATGCCGAAAAGACTCGTTCCCATTGCCAA